GAACATGATCTTTACTTAATAACCTAATGATTTTTGGCATAAAAGAAAAATCTATAATTTTGACCCATACAATGTATTTTTGGCTATTGCTACAAATATAACCCAGCGACTTAAGACTGGTTTTGTGCTCCAGGGTCACATTTTTCCCTTTTTTTTTTTTTAAACACTTTTTTTTCTAATCTTTTCAACAGACCCTCTAACACTCTCTTCCGGGCCTCTGGGGGTTCTTTTATTATTTTTCTTAAATTATTTTATTTATTTGAATCATTATTTAATTATTTGAATCATTTATTGATTTATTTACTTAGGTCTTATGTTTTATTGTTTATTTATTTTAATATATAATATGTTTTTCTCTAAATTTTTCCACGGATACCCCACCACTCACTCCCTTGTAAGTTCTTGGAGTTTTTTTATTTAAATTTTTCTTTCTTTCTTTATTGTAATAATATTTTGTATTTTTATTTTAATCAATTAATTTATTGAGTTAGTTAGGTCTTATGTTTTATTATTTATTCAATTTTGAGTTTTTTTACACAATTTTTCTCTAAGCTTTTCCATGGACTCCCTTATTGGCCCCTGGGGGTTCCCTGTTTGCCAGTTTGAAAACCCCTGATCAATATTTTCGTTGCAACCAGAGGAGGCGTGTTCTCTCATTCCTGTCATTCCTGTCTCTCTCTCCCATTTGCTTTCTCCCGCTCTCTGTCTGGCATGATGTTTTCCTGAGAATATTTGCACCAGGTCAGCACGTTTCACTATGCATGAGCTGATTAAGAGATTTGGTGCTTTTTTCCCAGCGTACTATCAGTGGCAATCCAAGCGTTAAGTGAAAGCGATTGTGCAGAAGTTTTAAAGTTTCAATTTACAATGGAGTTTTTGTTTTATCTCTTTCGGTATCCTTTTCTCTCTCTCCCCTGACGCATTTCTCGGGGCAGACTTCCTGTCTGTGGAATCACTATTGTTATACCCACTTCCTGACATTTAGACTTCATTTCCTCTTTGTTGGAAGCTGTGCAGAGTCTGCACAGTGCAGATTTGTCCGGTTTAACCCTTTTGGTGTCTTGATATAGGTCAGATGTGCATGTCGTTGCCGCAGCTCTTGACAAGTAGGACAAAAGGGAGTCATTTCCGACATCTTGCTGTTATGTCATTAGATAAGATCTCATGCAGCCAAATGCTTCTTTTAAATAGACGTGTTGTTATGAGTGGGTGGTCGGGCCATTTGCCACTTGCTGCTCCAGGAGGCAAAGTGCTAAATCTAATCTAAAACCAGAGCAAATCACTAGTGCAAGATGTGTTTTTACTCCACGCTGTGTGAGAATCCACGAGTAGGATTTAGAGAAAAATCCTATCGGAGTAAATTAATTTAATGTCTAGTCAACACATTTTGTACACACTCTATGTAGACTACCATTCAAAAGTTTTTGGTCGGTAAGATTTTTTTTTTTTTAAGGAAATTAAGGACTTTGTAGAAAACGAAGCGTTTGAGAGAGGCGGGGCATAGAGTGTGTTAATGTGTTTTTTGAACATTAAAGCATGTCAACATATTCTGTTACACCAAATACACAAAATAATAATCTTTAAAAAGGCATCATATGACCCCTTTAATGTTTGAAAACTGAATTGCAAATTCTGCAGAGGCCTTGCATTATTTTTCCATCTTTTTTTCTCTTGTGGTCTTGACATAAAGTTATTGTTAGAAAATAATTTTAAAAATCCCCCAAAAATTGCATTACTATATCTAAATATGTGACTAATAGGCTGACAATACTCATCAAAGTTAATGAATAAATATAAACAATTTACAATGACAATTTAATGCTGAGTTGCATCGCTGCCCTCTAGTGTTCAAACAAAAGTACTACATGAAGATTTGACAGATTTTACATTATGTTTGACAACTTATCTCTCCTAGGAAAAAGTATCAGTTCATGCTTGTTTTATTGATTGCTTACATGATTTCAGTCTATATGTGTGATTTCGATGAACCTGTTTAAACACTAGCATCATGTGTGTGTGTGTCTGTGTGACTCTGCAGTGTTGCAGTCTGAGCCGTTGCAGCGCCTCTTTATTAATAAATTGAGAGAGGTGTGTTTGGCCTGGCAGAAACAGCTGCCCAGTCCCGGGTCGTCCTCATCACAGACACACAGCTGCTCCGTTCACGCCATTCGAAACACTCGCAGGAAGATGGAAGACCGTCACATCATCCTGAGAGAGTTTAACCAGCTTCTGGGACTGCAGGTAAGGCCGCCACAGCTTGCATTGTAGTAGGGATGCATAGGTAGATATTTAACCAACCCCATTCCCGAATATGCATATTTCCCTATTATATAATATGCAAAACGTTGTATGTTCAATTCAATGGTCAGTTTTTATTTGATTGTCTTTATTGACTTTTCTGAATGGACTTTTTAGAAAAATTGGCTCTGAGGAATGAATCTGATTTCTGTTTGTTTTCCACAGGATGGTGTAGATCGAGAGTATTACGCTGTGTTTGATGGACATGGAGGGGTGGACGCTGCCACATATGTTGCCACTCACCTGCATATCATACTGAGCCAACAGGAGGCGCTAAAAAGCGATGCCGCCACAGCCTTCAAAAGCACCTTCACACAAACAGATGACATGTTCAAAATCAAAGCTAAGAGAGAGGTAAGAACAACCAATGAAAGTCTGAGACCACTAGTAAAAATGCTTGTATTTTTTATTTTCATTTAAAACTTTTTTTTATTACAAACTATACCATCAGCATATCAGTTTGAATCCTGAATTAATTGTAAAAAAGTTTAGAAGGCGTTAACATGCTCAATAGCACAGATTTGCTTAAATATCTTAAATATATCTTAAATATATCATATATTTTTAAATCCTATAACTTTTTATTTCTTGTTTCAAATAACTTACAAAGAAATAGCAGATTTTCAGTGTGATCTCAGATTTGTATGTGCAACACATAAATGAAGCAACAAATCCACTTTTAAATATGCACTAGCAAAAATAAGCATCAAATACAGCAAGTATTTGATACACTTGTTTTGCTTCTGAAACACTGTGCACAATCAGTTTCAGGAGTTATATTATCTTTCCCCAAGCTGGTGCATTTTGTGGAAATTCACAATGGAAAGAAATCTTTTCACATCTCTCCCACTTCTTAAGATGCAACCGTTATGTGGATTGAATGTTCCTACGCTGTAATAAATACAGATAAATATAGTCCATGTTTCCCCCTGTGGTTGAATACATGGTAAGAAAACAGTGCAGGTTTGCTGCACGTCTCTGTCTGCCTCCACAGGTACGGATATGAGTAAGCACTTTCTGTTTCACTGGCACGGTCAGTGCACGTAAACAAGAATTAATTTTACTGACAATAATTGACATGCACCTGAGAGTTTGTATGGACCAGTTGATACCACTCAATAAAACAACTAATGATTTTATTTTTTTTTTTACTTTTGGAAAGACTTAAATTATACTGAATTCAGTTAGTTGAATGAAGTGTCGTTATCTAGTAAAATGAAATGGGGCAGTATTTTAAATATAAATGGGTAAATAAATTTTTAAACAAATAAGATTTTTTTTTGCATTGTGAAATTATGGACATGACATATAACAGTTAAGCTTATCGAAATATTTAGTTAAAATGTGAATTATTTATTATTTTACTATTTTGTAATATAAAAAAATGTTGAATTGTTAAAATTATTTTATTAAAATCTATTATATTTGTATTAAATTCATCATTTTGATTGGTACCATTAATTTTAAACATAATAGCACAATAAAAAATTTAATTATTTGACATTATGTATTTGACATGATTATTTGATGAATTAAGTTTTACTTAAACTTGAATGGAAATATATTATTTAATTATATTTTAATTGAGATATATTATGTAATTTATTTAGTGCAGTTAATCTCAACATAATAGTATAAAAGTTATTAAGTATTTAAATATAAATTTGTAAATTAATTTTTTGACTCAACAGGATGTATTAATTTATTTTTGCATTTTGAAAATATTTACATGGAAATTAAGCACTCGTTGCAAAAATATATTGATAGAATTTGAATTTATTATTATTATTTATGTTTATAATATAAAAATGTTTTAAATGATACAATTCTTTATTAAATTCATTATTTAATTTAGTGCAGTTAATTTTGAAAGTAATAGGACAATAAAATTCAAATTGTGATTTGAATAATTCGACTGATTGTAATCAGATTTAAATTAATCAACTGACAGCCCTAGTTTTTGTAAATGGTGGTAGTATTGGTTTCACTGACTTTAGTTCATGCTGATTTAAAAATACAACAATTAAAGTATAACAATTACTGTATTACAGTAATTAGAATCATAATTATTAAACAAATAATGTGACACTCATAGTGACCACTGGATGGCAAACTAAACATTCATTTGTGTTGGTCTTGTTCAGCGTCTGCGCAGCGGCAGCACTGGTGTGGCGGCCTTACTGACCTCTGATTGCCTGACCGTATCCTGGCTGGGCGACTCTCAAGCTGTGCTGGTTCGACAGGGAGAACCAGTGACCCTAATGGACCCACACAAACCTGAGAGAGAGGTATGACACACTACAAGCCACTGCTGACCATAAGAGCGTATCAGATGCTCGTCTGTTCTCTGTGAGCAGCTGAAATGTGAGACGGAGGAAGCGACTGCTGACCACATGCTGAATCAATATTAGCAGTGTTGCTGCATACTTACTACAGCCACTGAATGCCAAAAGCATCAGAACGACTGACTTAAGAATACTTAGTGATAGAGTAATAATGATGCAATGCATGCAAACAATCTGAACGTCTGAAGAGGCGTATCATTCTCATATTATTCTTTGAATTTAGCTAAATATAGGGGTTTGCTGTTGTGAAAGCTCCAGGCTGTATCTTGAATGTTTGTGCTTGTGTTTCTGTGCAGGATGAGAAGAAAAGAATCGAAGATCTGGGTGGATGCATCGCTTTCATGGGTTGTTGGCGGGTAAATGGGACCTACGCCGTTTCCAGAGCAATAGGTGAATGTCTTGCAACCAAATCAAAAAACAACATTCTTGAGTATTTACAAGTGTGGGTGGGTGATATACTGAATATTCACAAGATATTTGAATATTCAGCAATGTGAATATTTCACTGAATTTAAAGGTGCTGTATGTAGGATTGACACCGAGTGGTTGAACTAGGTATTGCAGTCCAAATTCAAAATATTGGAGAGGGTTTTTTTTCACCCGGCCCCTCCTCCTCAGACTTGAAGCACACGCAGGTTGCCAGATTGACGACACCAACAGGAACGAGCGCACTTGACGATGAATTAAATGAAATACGCTGTGTTTTCCGCCAACTGGCAACCCTTGGTGCCGAAATACAATTGGGTAAACTGGCAGTGGGCGGGTTTCACAAACCAAAACAGAGACCGACATTCCGGCCCGGAACGCACATTTTCAAAGGAGAATAACTGACTGTAGCATTGTTTTTCAGATAAACAAGTATGTTAACTTAGCATGCTTTTTTAAATATCTGCTAACATATTATGGTATTTTTATGCTTTAGTACACACCTTTATTGTGCTTTTTATGTGTTCAAGATTAATAATAGCACCTCTGATATAAACTTCAGTAGCAAAGATTTAGTCAGTTTGATTTATGTTCATGAATCAGTTCAGAAACTCCGATTCAACAATTCATTGGCATCATTGCTCAAAGATGTTCATGGAAGCTTACTTGCTTGTGTTAATAAAATATATGTAGGTATATATTGCTAATTATTATGATGCTAAATTGGTGGAAATAACATAAAACATAATTGTTTATGTAGTGAGAAATATGTCCTGATTTATTTTTAATTAGATACATATATTTCTACATATATTTAACATTTTGAATCTATAAAAAAAAACAAAAAAACAAGTCATAATCAATATATCGACTTAACGCGCAATACATGTACATGATCTCAATAATTTTTGGTGACGCAATATATCGCCCATTATATTTACTTAAATGAATGTCACCATGTTTTGTATATTCCACTTGCGCTTGTGTCTTTTGCAGCTTCTCGTACATAACGTGGTGTAGTCATGAGGTGCTAGTTCAAATTTAAAAAATGCTTCTACAAACAAAGTTTCATCTGCAGATATGGTCTTGTTTAGGGATCTGTGTCTTTGTGCATATGGACATCTGACTGCTAAGTAGTGATTGTGTTTTACAGCAATAGTGTGCACCCTTCATTTACAGAGAAAAGAAGGTCAGGGAAAATCTGTAGATGGAAAAATCTCCATACAAGTTCTTTGTGCATTTTTCTTTTTTTGTACTTTGCACTTTTTGTTAGAAAATGTTTATTTGCTATTTATTCAGGTTAAGGTATCTAATATTTTGATACTTAATTTCCATGATCTAAACATTCTTAAAAATTTAAAGTTTGTTGTCATTTGGAAGTGTGTAGGCCTTCTTGCATTATTATGCTGTTACATTATGATTATATATTCAGTGGCATAAAATGGTCTTAAAATGACAATAATATCGCTTATCGCAATTATTTCTGGGGCAATATATCGCACAACAAATAGTTGTTATCGTGACAGGCCTATTCAGGGCAAATCGATAAATATCAGGATATATAGAGAAAATCTGATATTTTATATTGTATTGTAAAATGTATTGATTTAGTGCTTAAGAAGCATAATAATAATAATAATAATAATAATGTTGAAAACAGTTGTGCTGCTTAATATTTTTTTGTGGAAACCATAACTTATTTTTTCAGGATGTTTCATGTGTAGAAAGGTGGAATAAAGATTTTGAAAAATATATATTTTTAACAGCATAAATGTCTTTAATCTCAATTTTGATCAATTTAATTCATCATTGCTGAATAAAAGTATTAATTTATTAATTATTAATTACATTAATAAATGAAAAGTATGAATTTAATGGGTAATACAGTTTTCTCTCTCTCTCTCTCTCTCTCTCTCTCTATATATATATATATATATATATATATAGAAAAATGTATAAATAAATAATAAAGATAGATGATAGATAGGTAGGTAGTCAAAAATTATAATTCTTTCAGAGTGCAAGGTAGTAAAATACATTTTATATAATTTCTTTTTCTAACCCTCAATAGGTGATTTTGATCAGAAGCCGTATATCTCTAACGAAGCTGATTGCTCCTCGATCCAGCTGAACGGGCATGAAGATTACATTCTGCTTGCTTGTGACGGCTTCTTTGACGTGGTTCGGCCTGGGGACGTCCCGGAGCTGGTCCTGGAGGCTCTGAGGGAGACCGGAGGCTCGGGGGACGATGTGGCCCAGGCTCTGGTGGCCCATGCTAAAGCTGCTGGATCCAGTGATAACATCACAGTTCTCTTGGTGTTCCTCAAGGATCCGCAGCAGCTTCTGACCTACGAGACGAGTTCCAGAGCAGAGCCTGAAGGAGCTACGGCTGCAGCCACAGGGATCTGAAAGGGGTTAACAGGAAGAAATTTTCCATGATAGAACCAAAATCATCTGGAATGATATTTTGAAAGAGTTGTTGCATTTGAAAAGAATATGCGATTGTTGAGGTCATCCGAAACGAGTCCAGTCATGCATTCAGACGAAAGCATCGAACGCAGGTGAAAGGCGTTTCCTCGTTTTATGTTTTTTTTTTTTTCCAAGAATGTCTGATCTCTGGTCATTTATTAACTCTCTTTGTTGCTATGTTTGAACTTGCCTTCATTTTTAAACGTGTTTCTATCTTTTAACTATTTGCCTTGTTTTTACCAGCTTATATTTACACTAACTGCTGCTTAAAGAAATAGTTCACCTAAAAATAACAATTCTGTCATCAATTAGTCACCCTCATGTCATTCCAAACCTGTATTACTTTATTTTTTTTCCTTCTGTGGAATTTAAAGGAAGATATTTTTTTGGTAGAAGAGTGTACAGTGTTTCCCATTGATGTCCATTGTATGGACAAAAAATGCAATGGAAGTCAATGGGAACCAAATCTGTTTAGTTAACAACATACTTTAAAATATCTTCTGTTGTGTTCAACAGAAAACAAGAAATGCATACAGGTTTGAAACAACATGAGGGTGAGGAATTAATTTTGGATGGACTATCTCTTTAATATCTCATAAACAATGTAATACCTTACAGATACGCGTAAAGCAAATGCAATTTTTTTTCCAGAGCGTATTTTGTTGGTTGCGCTCCCTATTTGATACGACTGTTACAGTGGAGAGAAAACCGATGTGAATAGTCTTAACACATACAGTATTGCGTCGCATTTCGGACCACACCGACTTCGATAATGAAATAACCGACCATAAGGCCTTCAGCTCTGTCAGCAGATGTACTAATCCAGTGTTGTAGGTGGTTAGTATTTTTAAAACTGTTATTTATTTGACAAAAAAGTATTTATGGCTGTACTGTACTGTGTAAACGCGCTCTTTAATGTGCCAAAACTGTATTTACGAGTCTGAATTTGCCAAGATCGTCTCTCTGTTGCTGCAGCTTTTCACGAAGCAGTTTTTCAAAATGTACAGTAAACCTTTATTTATGCATATTTCATATTCGTTTTGTTACAGTGCCTTTTCCCCCCCAAATATCAGTGTTAATACTGGCGTGTGCGTGTTGGTGTTATATTATCATAGCCAGACTTTGCAAACCGCACGTCCTGCATGCTGCAAGTCGTCTCACGTTACGGCCGCTCAATATTTTGAAAGCCTCGTGACGAGTAGCTGATATAGTAGCACAGTCACTATAATGTGATAAGGCCAAGAATATCGCCAACCTAATGGATACCGAATGAGGAAGGTGAAGACAGAGCGATGAGATGTTGATTTGGTGTTTTTATATGGGGAAAATGTCTCATTTGGTTCAGTCTAATGCATTCTGTATTTGAATAAAAGAGTGCAAATGTCCGGATTTGTATCTTAGGATGTATATAATTGAGTATATTTTAAGTTTTCCACAAAATACAGTGGCATCTTAAAGTCTGAGGATATTGAAAATGTGGGATTTAAATTCATTTAACATTCATTTTTAATGTTTTTAAAACAAGTCTCTTATGCTCACCACAGCTGCATTTATTGGACCAAAATACAGTCAAAACTGTTATATTGTTAACTATTACAATCTGTTTTCTATTTTAATGTATTTTCAAATGTATTTTATTGCTGTGATCAAAGCTGAATTTTCAGCATCATTACTCCAGTCTTCAGTGTCACATGATCCTTCAGAAATCACTCTTAATGTGCTGATTTGCTGCTCAAGAAACATTTCTTATTATAATCCATGTTGAATTTTATAAAGACCCAAGTCTTTTCTGTCAGTCTTCAGAAATCATTATAATATGCTGATTTGGTGGTCATGAAAAATCAAACTTGAAAACATTGTAAAAGTCTTTACAGCCACTTTTGATTAATCTAATGCATCACTGCTGAATACAAATATTAATTATGAAAAAAAAAATTTAATGAAATCTTACTGAGCCCAAATATATTTTTATTTTTTATTTTTTGATGAGTATAAAACAAAGACACTTCATGATGTAGAAGCGTGTTCACTAGTGGTCTCAGACTTTTGGATCCCACTGTATATAATAATAAATATGGTGTTATTTCCCCTGGATTGACAAATATTGCATATTGCTCATCCATTTTAGACATGGGATATTAATTCTGCATTATGTAATTTTTGTAATTGCCAATGACTCTAAAAGCCAAATATCTGCACATCATCAGCGATGATCTCATATAATTCATTAGGAAATGGGATGTGCCAATGATGGGAATTTTGTGACATCACAGTTGTTAATTATAGTCTTTAAAAAATGTTTTAAAGCGCAATGCCTTATTTTTTCTCATAATGTGAATGATATCAATTACTCACCTTCATGTTACTCGAAACCAGTATGACTGTCTTCTGTGAAACACAAAAGAAGATCATTTGAAAAATGTTTTTTGGACCCCGCTGACTTTTATAGTATGGACATAAAAAACAGCTAAAACATTCTTCAGAATATCTATCAGTAATTGATGACAGAATTTTCATTTCTGGGTGAACTATTCCTTTACGTTCACATTAGTGCCAAATGACATTGTTCATTCAGAATGTGTTTTGCTCTTGACTGTGTCTTTGTACTTAGTATTAAAAGTTGGATTTTCATAGGGTTCGAGCACTGAACTACTTCTGTGTTTTTGTCCAGTAGAAAGGAACGATCATTATCGTATGCATCATTAGATTTTATGCTGGTGTGCATTTTTATACACTTTTCGCCTGCAGTATTTTTATTTTTTCACAGGACATTTTGTAATTGTTGCTGTTTGTACTAAACAGTGAACATAAATCATGGGAACACATGGGTTTAACAGCTCTCAATAGTACATGATAAAGTGCCTTATCTTTATGTACTTTTTAGAATCATCTTTGTACAGTACAGGCAACTTAACTGATAAACCGAAGTGAGCTGACTCTTTTCAGACCTAATTTTGCATATCATTTACCTCTACTGCTGATCTTGTGTGTAAGTAAGGTTTTATACTGGATCAAATAATACAAATAATTCCACACTGAGTGTACAATACTACAGTGAAACTTCTACCTAAATGTTCTTGCATGTTGTAATGTTTGTCAACGTCTGATAAACAGCTGAATGTGATTGCTGTCCTGTGGTATTTTCCTGCAGTTTTTTAATGCAACTTTTTGTGGATTTATAACCAATGACACAAGCATTGGGCTTGAGTCTGATATAATGTGAATAAAGTACTTTTCACATCAGTTTGGTGTCTGGATTTGTTACTGCACTAATAGTTGCCACAGCTGACAGTGTTAGTTTAGCTGTCTCTAGTCACTTTAGTTTACCATGGTCTCCTTTCACACTTACACTCTCCTATGAGAAGATTTGTCCGACTGATTATAATAGGAAGGCCAACCTCTTTGTACTTTATTTACCCTTAAATTGGAATATGATAGTACCTTAATATAAAGGGTCATATTAGTACTTAATAGTACCTAAATTACTACCTTTTGAAAGACCCAGTGACAGTTTTGTATCTTTTGTATGAGTGTAGCCATACTTGAATCTTTTACTATGCAATTAAATATGCATAACAGCTTTTTCATCAGTTTCGATAACCCAAACAAACCTTCAAATAAATGGCGAAGTTCTAAAGGAGTTGACATGTTTGTTGGATACATGAGAAACATGCATTCAGTAGCCTGATGATGATGATGATGATGATGATGGTGGTAAACAAACCAGCCTGGTTTGCTGGTCCAGTTTTTAGAGGTTTCAGAGTTTTTTTTTTTCCTTTCCAGCAAGTTCATCAGGGAAACCATCATAAATAAAACAGCACATATTTCTAGGTTTCTTAACATTAATATTGACGTTTTAAGAATATGTTGTAAATAAAAATAAACAAAAGAACCTGCTGATTCAGACAACAGCAGTTCTGCTACACTATAAAAATTATTTTTTTGAAGCTGTAAATAAATAAAAAGATGAATGGAGTGTCAGTGTTACTTGCCGTTATTTGTGAAATTTACTAGCGTTTTCTGAGTGAAAATTGTTTGTATATCTTACACCATTTTTTCAGTTTACATTTAACATTTCGCACAAGATCACAAATCAAATGATAAACCAGACGTGATTTTTGTCCTGTAAATTTTTTGTTTGTAACGTTAAATAGAGAACTAATTGTCTTTCACCCGTGTAGCTCATTTATAGGCCTTATTGTTTAAACTGATACAAATAGAAGAAACGTGATACATCTGTTTATAATTTCCTAATAAGCAGATTCACAATATTATCTGCAACCATTGTAAAACCGAGAGGACCTACCCATCAAAAATCCCGATTTATCAACAGGTTCTCCTCGCCTGACTTCGTAAATTAAAGCATCTTTAAACCTCTGGAGAAATGAAGTGTAACTTCTATCTCTATGGTAACCACTCTCCGCTGCCCGCCCACGTGATCTGCTCCGTTACTTCCTGCGGCAACGCTCGCGCTCTCCCTCGCTGCCGCCTGCAGTCGCGCAGATTGCTATCACTATATATATATATATGCCAGTCAACACAACACTTCAGCCGCTCCTTTCCTTTCACTCCGACGCGAAGACTTCGGTTTAGTTTAACCACGTCGCTTATCCTGCCTCCTGCGGAGTTTTCTTCAGCCTAAGAGCTTTCCCCGATCTTCATAAGCTGCTTTGGGTAAGAAAAGCGCGTTTGTAGTGCGTGTAAAGGCAGCTCAGTTTCTCAGCAATGGCGACAGCTGCGGTATCTGCCCCTGCTGGCGGCGGCCCGAACCCCGGATCCGGTGCCGAGATGGTCCGCGGTCAGGCTTTCGACGTCGGGCCGCGCTACAGCAACCTCTCGTACATCGGAGAAGGCGCATACGGCATGGTTTGGTAAGATGCTAAACACGTTACGCTTTGTTACAGTTGTTTTTCCGAGGATTGTAATTATGTTTCCTTTTGTCGCTTGCTTGGATTTGTTCATTCAATCACAGCGCAGTGCACCAGACCCCCACTTCTCTCGTTATCGTGCTGCTTCTGCTTGTTGAAACCAGTTGCATGCACTTTTCTTTTTTTTTCTTTTTTTATGCTGGACTTTTAAGCTTAGTTTTAGATGTGCATTAACGGAGACAAGTTCACACTGAGTCTAATCTGTCAAAGCACTTCTAATCATGAGTTGGTGATTCATTATTTAATCATTTGCTTTGCAGATTTAGTTTAGGCTATTTATTTTTCTGTCTCTCAAGAATATTTTGTTGCATTAGCTTTTTATGTTGTATTAACTCGATGGCATTGCAATTAAATTCAGATCATCTAAATAGATTTTAAAG